TCCCCCTCCCCTCCTCCCCCTCCCTCCTCCCCCCTCTCCCTCCCCTCCTCGCCCCTCCGCATTATACTGCAATGCAAAGCACTGCACATGCAATGCAACTGCAACACAGTGCAATGCAATGCGACGAAACAGGATGCAACACAGTGCAATGCAATGCAATGCAATGCAACGCAACGCAACGCAACGCAGTGCAGTGCAATGCAATGCAACGCAACGCTACGCAACGCAACACAATGCAACGCAATGCAAGGCAATGCAATGCAAAGCAGCACAGAGCGCTCGCCCGCACCTCTACCCGCCCGCCCGCTCGCCCACCCGCCCGCTTGCCCCTCCGCGCGCGCCTCCCATTCATTTCTTTCCATCCCATCCCATCCCATCCCATTCCATTCCATTCCATTCCACTCCACTCCATTCCATTCCATTCCATTCCATCCCATTCCATTCCAGTCCAGTCCATTCCAGTCCAGTCCAGTCCATCCCATCCCAGTTCATCCCAGTCCAGTCCATTCCATTCCAGTCCATTCCATTCCGTTCCATTCCATTCCGTTCCGTTCCGTTCCGTTCTATTCTACTCCATTCCGTTCCATTCCACGAGAGTCCACGAGAGTCCATTGCATCCAGTCCTCTTTTCCATCCCATTCCGTCCATTCCATTCCCTTCCGTTCCATTCCGTCACACTTTTCCTCCGCCCCGCGGTCATTCAAGGGAGAGAGAGAGAGAGAGAGAGAGCGAGCCGTGCACGTCCAGGGTGCATTGGCAGTAGTGGCACTCGGGCTCATACCGGTGCTCAGAAGCAGAGGCGCCTGGCAGCTGCGCGCCACGCGTGTGCGGAACCTTGCCACAATTCTTGCAGAGGTGCTGGTCCACCTGCTGCCTGGCATGCGAGGTCGTACACGCAGCGGTTCCATGTATTTCTGGGCCGGCCGCGCTTGCGGGGGCCACGCGGGCGGGCTAGGTCAAAACCCCTGGGCGTGAAAATGCAGCGCCTCACTGCACTGTCGTCCGGTTGCCGGGCAGCGTCTCCCATCAGGACCAGTTGTCTGTACGCCAGCAGAGAGCTCAACTTTTTGCACCCGCATGTACCAAGCACGGTCTCGTTGGTGATGTGGCTCACGTACGAATGCCCTATGCCGGCAACTTTTCGCAGGCACCGTGCTTGGAATGCGTTCAACTTGTTGTTCTCGGCCTTGTTGAGCCACACGGTGTGCAAACAGTACATGAGTTTGGATACGACGCATGCTTCAAATATGCGCACCTTTTTCGACAACGGTATCTTACAATGCTTCCAAACACGGCATAGCGTACTGAAGTCTGCCGCTGCCATGCCCAAGCGTTTGCTCAGCTCGGGGCCGCTTCCTCCGCTGGCAGTCAGGAGGCCGCCCAGATAGACCATGCTCTCCTTGCACGGCACTGCTGCGCCGCCCGGTCTCGTCAACGTGTTCTGGCACCGAATTGGCATAGCTTCTATCTTGCTCCAATTGAATGCCAGGCCGTAGTGCTTCCCCGCTTCCTGGATGCACATCATGAGCGCGCTCACGAACTCACCGTTGGTGCCAACCACGAGCGTGTCGTCCGCGTAAATCAACTCGCTGACCAGAAGATGCTCCTCCTGAGTGAAGCCCTGCCGCTTGAAAGCATCCGTGGCGTCGCGCATCAGGGCGGTCATCACGATGGAGAACAGGAACGGCGACAAAGGGCACCCCTGCGAGATGCCGTACTCTTGCGTCCAAGATTCGGACACAGCTCCGGCCTCACGCACCCTGAACGACCGGTTTGTGTAAATCGCCCTGACGCATTCGGAAAATTGTGTGGGTACGCCAACTCGCCGTAGAGCTTGCAATAAACCCTCTGGCGATACACTGTCGAAGGCCTTTGCCCAGTCCAATGCTAAGAAGACCACCTGGCCGGAGCGGGGAATCCAACGTAGCTTCGATCATCCTTCGGGCGACAAGTAAAGCGTCCGCCGTGCCGCGGCCACTTCTGAAGCCGTACTGCGTGTCCAAGATTCGACGCTCTGCTCCCGCGCCCTTTAGCCGAGCAAGCAAGATCATGGCATACAGCTTGTACCCAATCGGTAGCAGGGATATAGGCCTGTAGTTGACACAGTCCGCAACGTCGCCCTTCTTAAAGATCGCGGCGACGAGCGCTTCGTGCCACCCTGCGGGAACGGACTGCGGTTATTCAAGGGCAAAACATAATTTGAGTCCAGCGGTGTGGAGTATCAGCCAGCGTTGACTCCAAATCGATTAGAGGACTCAAATCACGGAATCAGAGGAATCAAGCATGATTGGAATTCGCAACTCAGCAAGCAAGCAAGCGTGCAGGCAAGCGCGCAAGCAAGCGCGCAAGCGCGCAAGCAAGCAAGCAAGCGCGCAAGCAAGCAAGTAAGCAAGCAGGCATAGGCATAGGCCTAGGCATAGGAGCTAGGGGGGAGGCATAGGCATAGGCATAGCCATAGGAATTAGGGGGGGCAACGGACCAGTGAGTAGGGTTTGAGCTA